GGACGACTGTATACTATAAAGGCAGCATTATAATTTCAGTCCACTCTAACTACTCTTTTTGTTTTTGTGCTCCAACACACGGCGTCTCCACAGCCGACTGGATGTGTGCGGACGTGGGTGTGGATCGACTCAATGGTCAAGAATTTGTCAGCAGTCGAACAGCTCGTAAACTTTTGGCGCACAATAGGCTAAATTTAACCCTCCTCCAACGATAACAAAAGACTCGAGGTGTTTAGCTTTAGTCTCAGTCGGAAAAGCAGACAGTTTGCTGTTGGCTGCGTTTATTTTATTTTGGCGTACGTCTCACCTTTTGTAGATAATCTGTCCTCTCCTTCTTTTTGTTTCGACATCGAGCCGCAGCCACTTTGTTTTTCTCTCGCCTCCGTTTCCTCCTCTCTTCCTCTTCATCTCTCTAGAAAGGAAAAAAAGAAAAACAGCAGAGGAGAGAAAGCTTTAGATGTCTTCGACGGCATTAAACGCTGCTGGCATTAGGTATGAGGGAATATGACATTCCCACTCAAGATTCAAGTTTAACTTTATTGTCCCAGACGTGGGAAATTTGTCTTGGGCGATCTACCCACGGTGCAGTCAACACAAGCAGACACAAACAGGGAAAGCACAGTTAACGGATAGAATAAATAAATACATACATACATCAGGTAAAAGCAGAATAAAAATAAAAGCATATAGATATAAATATAGAGGGATAAATATAAATAAAGGAGTACATGAGTACACGTTTACTTTTTTTTTACCCCCAACTTTTTTATTTATGTTGTTCTCCATGAGTCATAGTCAACATGAGATCACAAAACAAAGTGTCCGTTAATCCTCTTTTTCTGTTGTCACATCTCACTACAGCATCAGTTACAAAACTGGTTGAAGATGAGTGAAATGATGTAAACATTTGTCATTGAAAAATATCCCCAAAACTTAAGCTGAGACTAAAGTTAAACTGCATGCAATCAAAACCAGCACAACTACCAACAATAAGAAATATGCTGTATATTCGTATGTAAACTAATCATCCATCCATCCATCATCTACACACCGCTTAATCCTCACTAAGGTCATGGGGGGCTGGAGTCTATCCCAGCTGACTCAGGATGAAGGCAGGTTCACCTGGACAGGTAACCAGTCTATCACAGGGCTACACTTAGAGACAGACAACCAAGCACACTCACATTCACACCTACGGACAATTTAGAATCACCAATTAACCTCAACATGTTTCTGGACTGTGGGAGGAAGCCGGAGAACCTGGAGAGAACCCACGCTGCACGGGGAGAACATGGAGACTCCACGCAGAAAGATCCTGGGTGTCCTCACCGGGATGCGAACCGGCAACCTTCTAGCTGCAAGGCAACGATACTAACCACCGATCACTTTGCAGCCTCTTGCATATTCGTATGTAAACTTATTGTAGCTGTAACCAGGTACAAGCCTGTTTGATCTGGTTTGCAATTGTACAACTTTGATATCAGTGTTTTACGATTTATAACTTTAACCACATGAGGTCAACCGCTTGATGAGCTTTTGTCCACTTGGTTATTGATAGTTGATAAGATTGGGCTTTCATCCCATCAACCTGCAGCCCGGTATAGTGACTCCGGTATATGGCGACTTTCTGTTACATTCAGTTTGATTGTCTATCAGTGGGAATCCCCGTCTGTGAACAAGCGATTCAGTCATGAAATAAATGATGCAAATAGTCGTAATAATGGGCCCATTGCCGGTTCGCGTCCCGGTGAGGACACCCGGGATCTTTCTGCGTGGAGTCTCCAAGTTCTCCCCGTGCAGCGTGGGTTCTCTCCGGGTTCTCCAGCTTCCTCCCACAGTCCAGACACATGTTGAGGTTAATTGGTGATTGTAAATTGTCCATAGGAGTGAATGTGAGTGTGCTTGGTTGTCTGTCTCTAAGTGTAGCCCTGTGATGGACTGGTTACCTGTCCAGGTGAACCTGCCTTCACCCTGAGTCAGCTGGGATAGACTCCAGCCCCCTGCGACCCTATAGTGAGGATTAAGCGGTGTATAGATGATGAATGGATGGATTGCATTACAGGCATATACCCCTGGTAATTATGAAGTTTACCTTTTCCTTTTCACACCTGTATGTATATGAAAAGAGTAAACTTCTATATATATTTAACCATCAACTTATCTACTTTTTGCATTGATACCAGATATGTAATGATGTGACGTCTACTTATGAATTCACGAGTGATTAATCAAAACCATATCTGATCATGAATTTCAAGCCAAAGTCACTTAGTGTTGAAGGGGTTAATCATGTCATATGTAGGTATCCTCGCCTCTCTTTCTGAAAGTTAATTTAGCCCAAACATCATCTCCACTGGCATCGCTGTGGCCAAGCTGCCCATCCTATCAGCCAACAAAAGTTCAGGCTCACAGTCTAACAGCTCAACAGAGATCAGAATCCATCTGCTGGTAGCATTCCTGCCACTCTGACCATATTTTGCGCTGGAACGTTATGGGTGAAGGGTTCCCACGGTACATTTAACACCAGTAACATGACCCGCTGTGTCCACTAGATGGTCCTGTTGATTAAGATATGACTCCAACAGCAAAGGTGTTTTCACTATAAACAAATCTGTTTATGATTTACTGTATGGAGGATGTTTTCCACATACTTAGCCAGAATCTGTGAAGCTAATTTGAAATGCTGTGTGAATGTTGCTTATGTAAATACTCTGGTGTACAAAAATGACCTCTTATAATGTCAGCTAAGTAAAATGAAAACTCAAAATGTACCATTCGTATTAGTTTAAAGGGTAAGTGGTGTGTCGACGTGTCCTCTACCTCCGTTTTGATGACTAGGGGCCTCTTCCCCAGGCTGTCCAGGAAGTGCAGAGGTGACAGCATCGTCCCAAACTCCTGGAGGTCGCCGAATTTGAGCTTGTCAGTCAGCGTGGTGGCTGAGATCCCAGCCAGCGGGCCCAGGCTGGGCAGGGAGCCTGCAGTCACAGAGGGATCTGGGATTTGTCCTGGCATCGCGTCAGACTCGGTCGTGACCACAGCTACAGTAGGAGGCAGAGGGAGAGAAAAAAAAAAAGGGAGACATGGTCAGACGGAAACTAAACCAGATCAATGACAAACATATAAAACCCTGTCTGCTCTGCCTGTTATAGCACACACTGGGGCGTGCTTCATGGGCAGAAAAACAGCCATTTCACATTAACAAATTGGACACAAATACATATGCAAGTGCTTTGTTTTGACCTGCAGCACAGTCTGGAAGGTGCACCGTTCCCTTCCAGCCGACAGTTGGGTGATGAATTGCTGCTCTGTTCCAGGATGCTGAGGCTGCTGCTGCTCATTAGGTTATTTCTGTTATTTTGACACTTTTTCTGGAAGCAATATGCTACCATTTACAGAAACCGTGGCAGGAGCTTACCTTATTTAATCCCGAGAGGCCCAAAGAAAGACGAACAAGACGGCACGAAGCAGTTTCAAATTCTGTTTCACTCCAACGAATTTGAACAAAAATCGCCAAGAAAAACCTGCGAACTGTGGTTTCCTCCACATGAGACTAACTGTGAGGGCCAAGTTTTGTTTGGCCAAACAAACATTAAAGGCTGCTGAAGTATCACGTGAGCAGGGTTTTGTGCTGGCAAGTACGTGGACATGAACGCTTTCATTGATACAGAGACAATGAGAAACGTGTGAGAGCAAAGCCGGGCAAAGACACAGGAAATTACTACAACAGCTCAGCGGATTTCCAAGCCACATGACACAGCCAAAAACTATGATCTAAGGTCAGTTACTCAGAGATCTGTATCCCACACTGCTGGGATAAACTTATAAATGTCACTTATTGGCTGTTTAGAAAACAGCCGCATGACTTGTTATCATCTGTGAAGTCGGCTCCAACATTAAGGGAGAGTTTATTTATTTCAGTTAAGCTCTGAGCAGCGAACACAACATTGAAATCTCACGGGAATAACTTTCAGTTTTGCACTTCCCCAAACTAAAGGTCAAAAAGACACACAGCAGGCACATGATGGTCACGAACAGCGTTTATGTTGAAACTGGCGCGGTGGTAAAATGCAAACGGTTGGTTGTATCTGCAAATCTGTGTTAAAGTATAAACTCCAGCCAACAACAAAGCCAACTGAACACCATGGTTCTGGATATTATGATGAAAACAGCTTGTTTTTTTTTACGAGGCTAGTTTTATTATAGGCGGTCCCTAAAAGTCCCAGGAAACCAGTTCACTCATCCTGATCAGGACGTGTTATTCTCATTTGTGTCGCCCTCCCAGTTTACTTTACAAATATGCATTTGGAGCTGCTTCTCAGTATCCAAGAGCCAAAAACTGATGCTTCTTGTTTAAGGTGTGTTTCCCACTTTGTATAAATCTACAAACTGGAATCAAACAGTCATAACATGCAAATAAACCAAACTGTGTCTCTGTGGTGACACTGACGGTCTTTGTTAAGCTTCTTGTACCCAAATTATCCAAAGAAATGCTGGCAGTGTGCAGCACAATCAGGCAGTTTGGAGACAATATGATGCATGTGTTTGACTTGTGTCCTTCATTAGAACATAATTTACAGACGAGTTTTAGATTTATTATATGTTAACAATCCCTTTGGCCATGATCCTGTGGGACATAGCCTTCTAAATACAACCTTCATCAATAAAATCTAACATTTCAGTCACAGTGAAGGGTCTATTTGACAAGTATAAGAGTTAAACTGGTCTTTTAAAGCTGTTCCAACTGGTAAAAAACGACTCACCTGGTTATAATCTATGGCACAGAGCAGGTATAATAATACAGAGACGTTGGGGAACTTGCTTTAAAAGATCAGTTTAACTCAGACATGATAGTTTGGAGACAATATGATGCATGTGTTTGACTTGTATCCTTCTTTAGAACATAATTAACAGACGAGTTTTACATCTCATATAAGGAAACAGTCTCTTTGGCCATGATCCTGTGGGCTACAGTCTTCCAAATACAACCTTCATCAATAAAATTTAAGATGCATGAGCAACATTTCAGTCACAGTGAGGGGTCTATTTGGCAAGTGTATGAGTTAAACTGGTCTTTTGAAGCTGTTCCAACGACTAGCCTGGTTCTAATCTATGGCACAGAGCAGGTATAATAATACAGAGGCATTGGGGAACTTGCTTTAATCAGTTTTTTGGCACAGGCTCACTTCTTGGCACACTAGCGCAGCATGCACAGCCTGCTGAATTGGTCAACTTGAAAGCGGAAGTTTTTTTTTTCTCAGTGCGGCACTAATCTTACGTAACTTTGTCTTTCCATCAGAAACCTGCAGTGATAAAAATGTTACAGCTTTTCAGGCCGATCGGTTTTAGATAAACCGCATTTTTCAGAATCATTACGCAGCGCTTGTTCCAATGTTTAGAGCCGACAAACCAGGAACATTTTGTTCTGAAATTGTGCACGCCGGGATTCATGTTAACATGCAGCATGCAGACAAAAGAAAACGATCCTTGTGCCTGCACGCTCGGCAACATGTCATGTTTAGTTTGCGCACCAAAATTCGGCGAACGCACCGAATAAGCGAAAAACATCCGCGAACTCTCCTCGTCCTGACCGATGCGTGGCGCGCCAATAAGCTCTCCACTGTGTCAGAAATTACTCAGCTCTCGACTTGTGAAGTTTTTCCTTTTTTTTTTTTCTTTTTTTTTGCTCACCGACCTGACTTTGATCCCAGGTGCAACAAATGTCCTTTCTTCTGCTCAGCCGAGGGTCGAGAGTAGATTTTAAAAAGTGGAAACCGTTGCATCAGCCCGACTTTAAACGTGATCCCAATCTGGGAGGATTTGGGAATGCGGAAATTAGGCTATGCCAGCCAAACGTAAGCAGGGATGTAAAAAAGTACATAGTGGGGGCAGAAGTGGGGAAGTCGCGCCGCTCCTCCCATAAAGAAGCACTGAGGCTGCAGAGAGCTGCTGCAGCGACAGAAACATGGCTCACATGGAGGCCTGGACTGGAGGCACAGAGCAGCCACTGATCCACACAGCAGGGACAGCACTGGTATCAACAGGGTTAGTTCATATAAATCATAGTGATACCACAAACACTTCCAGATTATAATCTCAGAGAAAATGCTTCCTTGCATTGAAGAACTTTTTTATTATTAAGGTGAGGCTTCTTGGTTTTTCTTTTTTTTTGGAGTTGCATCAAATCAGAGCTGCAACTAGTGATTATTTAGTCAATGCATGAGTTATTTAGTCTGTAAAACATCAGAAAAAGGTGAGAAATGCCATCACTGTTGCTCAAATCTGGTAGTTTACTTTTATTTATTTTTTTAGTTCTTAAAGGAAGAACCTCCAGAATGATCAACAGCTTCATTCCACAAGCTGTCAGAACGCTGAACTGCTGATCCAGATATATTCAGATTGCTTTAAGTTATTGGATCCTCTCTCATCTCGCCTGTACGACTGTGTATGAACAGCAAGATGACAATAAACTTGATTTGATTTTGTCAGATCAGCAATCCAGAACAAAAAGAATGATAATAATGTGTTAAAATGGACCCACGAACGCTGCAAATTCTAAAGTCTAATAATCAAATTAGAAGCAGGTGGATCCACAAAGACTCTATCCTGAAAGTAGTTCCTTCAATTTTTTTGCTCGAGTTCTTTGGAGCGACTTTAATGGAGCATAAAGGAGGAGTTTTCTTTTAAAAGTTTTTATTTATCTTGTTAAAGAAGGGTTGTGTGGTTCCTCCACGGCATCACTACGATGAACCCTTTTCGGTTTCACTCAGCACCTCCGTTCTTCTGGGTGTCGGGTAAATCCACTCCTGACCGCTACATTTAGTCTATTCTTGCTTCAGGTCTTTTCTTGGATGGTAGTGACCTTGGTAATTCAAAGCGTTAAAATCATTTTCTGGTCTGAGGGAGTAAAAAGAAGAAGTGCTTTTAAGATATGTTAATTAAATATCTATAAATAACTCGCTGTGGGTTTTTTTTTTTTTAAATTAGGGCATACACATAATTCTTTACTCTTAGAGTCGTATGAAGGTTTGAACAAAAATTAAATATTATTTTTGTGGAAGTGTACGAGGAGGCTTCTCTGTTTTTATTTCAGTAGTTGAAATATCCGCGATAATAAAATGTTGTAATGAGGTTACAATCTCCTCATCGATTCGTTTTGGGTCCATCAATTCAATTTCAAAACAATCATAAATCATTTCTGTGTGTGCAGATTAAAATGTCTCATGAGGTATGATTACCACCAGGGGCGTCTTCTGCCCCAGCTGCTGGGGAAAGATACACTTTTTCAGAGATCCTACATGTAATTTTAAAATATGCTATGATTGAATTAATCTCTGAATCCGCTAATTTAAGCCTTTATTATGCCACTGATGTTCTAAATATGAAGAGTTAATTTGCAAAAACAGATAAGTCCATCTTCACAAGCCTTCAGAAAACCCACTGTTCCATCATCTACCTGAGACAACATCAATTAAACTTAAGCTATCTCTATTTTTGTCATTTCTACTGAGTCACATCCACTCGACTTCAGTTTGATTGATATTATCTCAAGTAAACAACAACAAAAACATGTTTTCTGAAAGTCTACAAAAATGTAGTTCTCTGTTTTTGCGCTTCATATATATATTCTTAAAGAAGCAGACATTGTTCCTGAGGGGGGCGTCTTATCCTGGTTTAACCTGCGCACGCCTCATTCATCTCTTAAAGACACCAACCACCACTGTGAACGTAGATTTATTGTAATTATTCAGCAGCATAGATAAGCAATCGATGCCCATTTTTTACTCATTTTTAAATTTAACAAATAAGTCAAAATCTGAAAGGTAAAAAAATAAATCATAAGTTACATCTTGATAAGATATATATATATATATCTATATATATATAGTATATAGCACTGGATGTTTTCATGGAAAACTTTCAACATTTTAACAATGAGGTCAAACCACAGTCGATGACATTGAGGTATGTAGTTACTGAACATAGATGAATATGTAAATACAACATTTACAGCAATCAATACACTATTGACACCAAAAAACACAAAACCATACTGTCACGGTAAATTCCACGTTACACCTTAGATCTAGGAACAGATCAGATATATATGAGCTTTGAAAATTATTTGGAATTTCTCAGCATGCGTTTTAAAATCAAAACTTACTTCAGTCCCTCCGGTTAAATTAAAAGCCATGCTTTTAGCTACATCACTCTGTTGGCTATGTATCTGGAGAAAGTTTATACGTTTGCTTAGTCACACACAAGACATTTCATGAACGTACTCCTTGAAGTGTTACGGCATCCTCTGGCATACGTTGTTCATGTCACCTCAGAGTCAGGAACCTGCAAACAGAGACACCAGAGAGATCACACGGGTCGCTTCCCTCTGCTGATTATAAGGCTAAGATAGTCGGAGAGTTGAGGATGTCGACCGATTCGCTCTTGCTTCCTCCGCCTTTATGGCTGTCTAGTCCCTCTGTGAGCGAGTCCAGCTCAGGACACGCGAACGTGAACACCGACAGGTAGCTGCTGCAGGTGGGGGTGGAGGTCACCACGGGGGTGCTGAGAGGCTCCAGGTCGCTGGAAACAGACTTGTACAGGGTCTCCCAGTCCGACACCCCCAGAGAGCTGCTCAGGTCTATGTCTGGCACGGAGCGAGCCGTCTCCATGGGGGTTTTCTCCTCCAGGCTGGGCAGCATATTGTCCAGCAGCCCCTCCTTAATGTCCAGAGAGGGCTCCAGATCGCAGATGTTGATTTCAGCACTGGCGCACAGCAAGATATTGGAGTTCCCGGAGATGGCTGTGGACGGATCACTGGGGATGTCCATGTCCTGGAGTGAAGGAGCCTCCTGGATGCCATCCTCTGGAAGTCTGTCCTCGTCAGGACTGGGCGGCAGCTCCGGGGACCCCGCGGGCTCCTGGAAAATAGACTCGAGCTCTTCTGACATCTGGCACACCGGTTTATGCGTAGCAAGGATAAATTCGAGCCTTTCTTTCTCTTTGAGGAGGTTGGCTATTTCCGTCTCCAGCGCCGCCTTTTCCTCCTCCAGCTTGTCTGTCTCCTTCAGATAGATCGACATCCAGAATCATCCACAGGGGACAACACACAGAAACAAGGAGGTGCAAATGACAGCTGAGTGAATGGATCACTGTTTACTTACAGCTTGCAGAGTATCTGTCAGCTCCCTCCGTCTGTTGCGACACTTGGCTGCGGCCATTTTATTCCTCTCCCTTCTTATCCTCTTTTTCTCCTCCTCCTCTGGAGACAGCTGGGATGCAAAGGAAATAATTCAGTTATTACCTTGAAGGATCCAGCCATTTCATCCCTTAATCCACTACATCCGCTCCCAGTTCGCCCTCTGAAGAATGGCAAAAGCATGTTTCGCTGCAATGCGTCTAAAAATAGACCATTGTTGCAGACTTGCTGTGACCTGAATATAAATTGAGCGCCTAAGGAAGGCACACAGCCGGCACACGGCACCAGAGGAGCATGCACAATAGCACCGTTGCACACAAGGAATTCAGATTGGCATATGTAAATCCACTCTATCCTGACCAATAGCAGGTGGACTCCATCTGAGCTAACCTACCTGCTCCGCTTTTCCCTTTCTGACAGCATTTTTTCCCTTATTCCCGCCTGCTTTGGGTGTTGCCTGGTGAGAGCTTTGCGGTTCATTGGCTTGCTTGCTGCCCAGAGACGGGGAGACAGATGTAATAATTGTAGGCTGGACCATCCACTGGAAATCTGGGGTAGAGGAAATTGCTGTAACTGTTGGAACAAACGGAGTGTCTTGCGCGCTCATGTCATGGCAGACCTCCTGCAAAAAACAAAAAAAAGGGAAATAATCCACAATGAGGGACGACAATACAAGACAGCAGAGGTTTAAAGTGGATCTCACTGTGATCAACCAGCAATAAATAAAAAACCTACATGTTGTTTTTTTTTTCTTTCTTGCAGCTTAAAGCAGAAGCTGCCCTGCATTTGGTTGATCTTTTCTTGAAATATACCCCCAACCAGAAATAGCCCTTCTCCAGATCAATATTTGACTTTATCATTGTTTCTGACGTCAACACTGACGCAGGGATGCTGTGGAGTCTCCTGAATGGATTTATTTTTCTCAATGAACCGCTGCATCGACACGCTCACATTTGGTCCCAGGACGTCGGAATCATAACAATCCAACCCACCGAGCTGCTTTTGTCACATTTTTTCTCCCTTCTCCCCTCCACCTCGCAGCTGATTCCTGCGCTCCAGTTACATATCAAACGCATCCCCGTGTTATAATAATGAGGAAAAACAATAATGACGTTTTTAACAACGAAGCAGTTAATTAAAATCTTATCAATCAGCCCCCCCTCCCCCCACCGCCGAGATGAAAAGCCAGTCAGTCTATTAAAAAAAGAAAGAAAAATGAGGGGGGGGGGGGATGCTGAATGTGCTCATCTGCTCTGGTGCCCCCCCTCCCCGAGTTGCAATGATGAATAAATGATCAAGAAAGCCCATTCATACCTTTGCATTGCTCTCTGAGGAGGAGGCAGGAGAGCTCGCCTCCTCTGGCGTCTTCTGGCTCAGTGTCCCGACAGGAGACTCTGTCCGGCAGGTGGGAGAGACTGAATCCATGTCAGGCGTCAGATTGTTGTGGTACATCACCAGCAGGAAGGAAGGAAATAAAAAAAAAACACACACACACACAAGTCCTGATCAATGACAAATATGAGTGTGGCCTTCCGCTGGGCAGAGCGGCTCGGGTCTGTTCTCCAGGTATATACCTGGTAACTGGACGACTAGGATGCAAGCCCCTCCTTTTATGCTCTGCTAGAATTTTATGAATGAACCAAGACTGTACCATCGGCGGAGGGGAGGGAGGGGAGGGGGTCAGACTCGACAGCCACACGGGCCTACATTTTGCTGTACAAGATCATTATTTTGACATTTTTTGCGCAGGAATATGAGAGATATTTAACAGATTATTTTTGCGTAAATGTGCGCAAAAAGAAAAAAAAAAGCTCCATTCATAAATATCGGCTTCTCATTAATGCAATATGGGATGAGAAACGTGAGTCTATTTATAAATACAAAAATGTAACCGTTTCATGGGCGACGGAAAGTTAATGTTCGGGTGCGTTCAAGGGTAAAATCCATGTGCGTTAAGCGCAAGTCAAGCGCGCTGGTTTTGTGTTGTTGTTGTTGTTTTTTTGGCACCAAGGTCAAGTGGGCACGTTTTTGCAACGAGCATTTTTAACAACAAACTGCATGTTTATCCCCTTTAATTCCTCCAAAATGAGTCCCCCTTCTCTCCTGACTCCATCCCATCTCTGTGAAACACGTTTCTGAACAGTGTGACAGACATTCCTCGGCGCGCTCCGCACAGCCCCCAAAGATAAGAATCGGAGACTGTTAGCAGACATAATGAAATGATGCTGAATTGTTTACTTGGGAGATGGAGGTGAGGAGGAGAGGCTGCACATGTGGGGGCGGGCGAGTCACGTGGCATGACCCGGAACTGTGGGGGATGAGGAGGAGAGGAGGAGAAGGAGGAGGAGGGGGGGTTGATCCGAGCAGCATCCTTCACAATAAGGCTGCAGCAGCAGCATCCAGACAGTCTGCTGGGTTCTGTCACCAAACACACTGTAACTGTGCAGATCACACACCTGAGAAGTGCTTCACCAAGGCATGACTCATGATGGTTTAGTGAAGAGGTGGATTCAGCAGTTAAGGGGAAAGTTAAGGGAAACTTAAATTACAGAACACAACAGAGGTGGAAATGTCACTTCAATGATTCAAACATGATGATTTAATGACATGACTTCTATTCACGCTTGTTTAAAATGAGAAACAACACTGTAAAGCATCAAGCAGAATGTTAGTGGAATTAATCTTTTCTTGTTAACTAAGTGTAAATACAGAAGTTTTGTCAATTGCAATTGTTTTTATCTTTAAATAATCTTAATCTTACCAACATTCGGTGTCTGATTTGAGGTCTTCTGAATTAAAACAATGAATTAATCTGTAGCTAAAAGTGTATTTAACTCATTCAGTTTTTAAAGAAATTAGAATCCAAGCAGACTTTCCAGCATTAAGAGTTAAAACCCTCCTGAGAGTCTTTATTTTGTAGTTTTTATTCACAATGAAAGCTCGCTGTATGTTGCTGCTGCAGGAGCAGGACATTGAACATTGTCTCCTCACAGCCTCTCCACAAACTGTCTGAACTGCTGCCATCAGGCAAACGTTTCCGGAGCGTTAAAGGAAGAACCTCCAGAATGATCAACAGCTTCATTCCACCAGCTGTCAGAACGCTGAACTGCTGATCCAGTTAAATCGCTTTAAGTTATTGGATCCTGAGGAGACGCTCTCTCATCTCGCCTGCACTACTGTGTACGTGCAGCAAAATGACAATAAACTTGATTTGATTTGAAAATATATCAAATCCCGTGTGTCTCTTTACGTTTCTTTGTACACCGAATATAAAGTAACTGGAAACTGTCTGACACGTTGTCACATTTTAAAAATGCTTTCAGCAGCTGAAAGTTCTTCATGTCAAATACACGACTAAGTGCTTAAACGGGGATTATATATCAGGAAAGAAAGTCTGTCTGTGATTATAATAATATTTGAAGGACTAATTGACTCGCGTCAGTATCTTAAACTGACTGAATAATTCAGTTAACTCGCTGTTTTTACAGGTCAAAGCTCATAAGATGCTGCTGAAATGACTATATTCAGTCCATTCATAGATTTAAGCATCACAGGAACTGATTTACACAGAAACAATTTATATTTGCTATAAAATAAAACACAGGCCTCACAGCAGGAGTTCATCCATCCATCATCTATACACCGCTTAATTCTGGTAGATTAATCACTGGACTTGCTTGAGTTTGTTGTCCAGTTGCTATGATTAATCTACCAGAATAACCATGACTTGGATGACTGAGAATCTTCACAGACATATTAATCCTCACTAGGGTCATGGGGGGCTGGAGTCTATCCCAGCTGACTCAGGGTGAAGGCAGGTTCACCTGGACAGGTAACCAGTCTATCACAGGGCTACACTTAGAGACAGACAACCAAGCACACTCACATTCACACCTACGGACAATTTAGAATCACCAATTAACCTCAACATGTTTTTGCACTGTGTGGGAAAGCCGGAGAACCCGGAGAGAACCCACGCTGCACGGGGAGAACATGGAGACTCCACGCAGAAAGATCTCAGTTGTCCACACCGGAATGCAACCTTCTTGCTGCGAGGCGATGGTGCTAACCACCTCTCCACCTTGCAGCCCAGCAGGAGTTCAGTGCAATAAAAGCAAGTCTTTCATTACTGAGATTAAACCCTTATTTGTCTAATGCTTTGTATCCATCCATCCATTAATCAGTGTTTCTATACACTGGTTAATCCTCTGTAGGGTCACAGGGGGCCTGAGCCTGTCCCAGCAGGGGACATCCTGGATATACAACAAGCACACTCACATTCACACCTACAGATAATTTAGAATCACCAGTTAACCTCAGCATGTCTGTACACAGTTTTACTAACAGCGCATGTTATGGGGAGTAAAAGAAAGGAATTTCTTGTAGTGATTTTAGGAAGGATCATCGAAAGCATAGGACAAAGATGAAGACGAGGCCTTTTCTTCTTCTTCTTCTTCTTTTTTTTTGTTAAATTCTGAAAGTTGGGTTTGCTGCACACACCATGGAGACAGTGTCACAGATCTGAGTCAGTGGTTTGGATCTGTTGGGTGACTGAGGTCACATGTTTTTATGATTAACACTGGACTGAATTATAGCAGCATCAAGGACATACGTTCAGACCTGTTCACATCACTTTGGGATCGACTTTTAAAGCATCCAGATTTGCCATTAAGCATCGCATTAAACCACATTTTAATATCACAGTGCCTCTCCTTTAACCTCCTGCTTCTGCTGTACTTGAGGGGGGCTTTCAGGGTGTGAAACAAGGTGCTGGAGCATCCGTCTGATATTTTGTGTATTTGCAAGAGGATGTTAAAGATGTTTGTGTAGTCTGATAATTGGTTTGCATCATTTACTGTAATAAAGCACTCCACAACCAGTCCTCCCCCCTCTTACCTCAGAGACATGCTCCACCCCTTCATGTACCCTCCGCTCCACTAATACCAACCTCCTGATCGTTCCCAGGACCGAGCACCGAACCTGGGGGGATTGGACCTTCTCTGTTGCCGCCCCACCCTCTGGAACTCCCCCCACAACACATCTGTGACACCACAGACCCGGTAATTTTCAAATCCAAACCGAAAACTCACCTGTTTCGCTCTGCTTTTCTTACTTAAACCTTCATGTTATATCTTGTGCTGTTTTTATCTGCTTGCTTGTATTTTTGCTCAGTCTATTTTTGTATTAGTTGCTTTTATTCTTTTATCCTGTAAAGCGATTTCCATTGGAGGGGGGTCTTTAAGTGTCTGCATGCACAAAAGCAGGACCTCATATGGGGAATAAAAGGAAAAACAGGTTTGTACTTTATATACACTAGTATATACATACAGAGTGAGCTCCTCCAAGTTGACTACAGTGGTAAAGAAACACAGCGCTGACAGTTTAAACCGCCCATCATATCTCGTCAGCATCATCTCAATGTGCTGTTTGACACCGACAGCTAAATGAATAAACGTTTAAGCGCAAATTGCTTAATCACCAAGTGGCTCATCAGGTTTCGGAACATTCACGTGGTCGTGCCTTTTACTGTTCCTCTGATGATGCATCACATTTCTTCAGTTTATTTTAGTGTTTCCTCTTTTTGGGTACTTACAAAATGACTGTTATTCTTATCTGTCAACGTGTATATAAATACTTCCCGAGGAATTTACAGTTGGCTGAGCATAAAAGAAAAGAACAACCACAGGACTTTAGGGGAAACTTGAACATTCGAGCCATTTGTATGAGTTGGATTTCATTTATTTGGTATTAAAATACATATTTAAAATAAAATACACACCCACTTATCTATGTCCATAGAGTTGCCATGCTTTGTACATTCTCCTCAGCTTCTGGATGTTTGGTTTCTCTGATTCCTGCAGGGACGAGAATGCTGTCAGACTGCTGTGCTGGACATCGCCTTGAATACCACGTTTAGTACAAGTTTAGATGTTCTACTACATTCTCGTACCTTCTGGTCTTTGTCCAAATGAAGGATGTCCACAAGGGGAGCGATCGATGGACGGCCGTGAGCGCACTGGAAAGGCAGCTGGCAGGAAGACAAGGACGCTACCAAGCTGCAGCATTCATCTCTGCTTAGAGTGTCGTTGAACTTGATGGCACCTGTTTCATTAACACGTGTATAAAAAAAATATCAGGTATAAAAAAAATTACACGCTCATCATTACACAAAAAAAAAAAGATTCAAGGACAAAGAGAAGTAATTCATCTTTACCGTGGCACGCTAGCGAGGCGAGCACTTTGAGAACAGTGAGAGGCAAAGTTCCTCTCACTCTACCTGCTGAGCGTAGTAGCTGGAAAATGAAAATGTACGTTACACTTGATTCAACTGGAAGATGCTTTCTGCACCACAGAGGTTTAGGAGCTGCTCTGATAGGACCAAGCTTACCTCAATCTGCTCTCGAAGATACTCCTGATGTGAGATAAAGCCACAGTGACAAACAGAAGGGAACAGAGCTGTGAAAACCTTACTTGGCTTTATATAGTAAATATTCTCAATACTGAGGTTTCACGAGTCTTACCTCAACAACAGGCTTGATAACAGACGGTCGTCCTCGCCGGAGCTCGTTGCTCTCTTTTTCCGTGAAGCACAACGGAACTTTCCCTACAAACACTCGTGGATCTGCTGCCTGTGAGAAAGTTACCTCCAGGCCCAAACTCCTCAAATGTGGCTGACAAGACCTGCAGGAAGACGAGTGCACAGGATGTTAGCACTTAGCTGCTTGCCAAATAACACTGTGATGTTATATGTAGTAAGACATTTTAGAAAGAAAACAAACAAAAGACACAAAATTTTCAAAAATAACTGTGGTTGGACCAGCTGTAGGTACCAGTCTAAAGAGCCTCAAATGTTGTGGTGCAGTTTGATGAAAATCACAGTAACATCCTCGAGTCATGGAGGCGAGGAAGCACTCAGCGATGGTGAAGGATGGTTTCATCATTTGAAGTTTAGCTGCTAGTGTGACGGCCCCACCTTGTATGTTGGTTGGGCACATTGGCTGTCTGTGTTTTCTCTGCTTCCTCAGGTCCTTAAACTGCTGGAGACTGAGTGGGTGGTCCTACCTGCACTCAGCACTCCCAGGCTACAAAAGGGCCAACCCCTCAGCTCCTGCTCTCTATCGTCATGCTTGTGATTTACGGCCACGCTGTCATTTTGGTTTGTGACTCTACATCAGACAACACCTCGCAAACGTCACATTCAGGCATCTGCACCTACACAACTACTATCACAGTCTTACACATCTCACTTTGGTGGTATTAATAAAAGATAACACTTTTCTTCTGGCAATACCTGCATCGTCTCCCCTCTTTTGTCATAACCTATTTGCCGGGTTGTGACACTAGCTAGGGGATAGTTTAGTTTGTTTTATATGATATAAGCTGAACATTAAGTTTCTGTGGTAGGTGTGTTATCATCTGTTAAGTCTCACATGATCAAGGAAAGTAGATCAGAAATCACAAAGTTTCCCTCACAGCTCCAGGATATCACCTTATTGAAAAAGATCGTGGCAACTATAGAACCCTCCTGTCCAAAGCAATAAACATGCTTACACATGCTCCTTTCCTTAGTCTTTCGATTGTCTGAAAACTCCCTTTAGCCTGTTCACCTAAAGACGCGGTGCTGACGGGACTTTCTGACGCTTCCAATTACAAGAAAAACACAGTCAACGTAAACAAACTTTGAATTTAGGTTTGTAGATGTAATTGTGGCCTTGCAGGAAATCTGACAAACACTCTTAATATACTGTTGGTTGCCACAAAATGAACACAGACGGCTGTATCACTGCATCCACCCTTTGATCATAGTGTTGTTTAATCCCTCTCTAGTCTTTCATTAAACCCCTAAAAACTCATCTCTGTTTATCAAAGTTATATATTTAGAGGGTTTCTATGAATATAATCCCTTATTACTTTAAAGTTGGTTCGATGTAACGCTGCTTTTGCCTATATTTGCCGATACAGGGCTGGCCAAAGTGAAATGTTAAGTATCTATCTGTCTTTTACTGATATTCTCCTTTGCTTGTACACAGTAGACTCGTGACCTCACCTGAGCAGCCTGAGCTCCTCCTCGGACACGCTGATCTCAAGAGGCGGCAAAATGGTTGACGAACACAGACGTCTCTCCCCCTGGGCATCTGGATCGTCCTCATATGAATCTACGACAGCACAAATAGTTATAACGGTAGAATCAAATCAGGATCCCAACAGCAGCTTTATTCATTTTATATTTCACTGACAATATTAACACTCGTTTTTTTTTTTTACCTGCAATTAAATTTTCAAGCCGAACTCTCTCGTGTGCGGCGTGTTGATCCACCAGCACCAAAAGGTTTCCTGGGAGTGCAAAAGCAAATGTACAAATGTGCACAAAGAGTCAGGAAACCGACAGACGAAGAAGCTTCCGTCCATACCTTCCGTTTCAGTGTGTGCCCCTGACTCCTCGTCTCTTGTATTGATGAGGCATGCGAGGAACTTTTTATCCACTTGGTGAATAACCTATGAGGCAATTGGAGACCAGTTTTATAACATCATTTCATTCAGATTTGTCAAGGTGGTTAAAGGATGAACTTGCCTTCATCGAGTGAATCATGGCTTTAGAGAAGCGGTACGGAAACAGGATGTTGTGGATCTTCACGGCCAATTCGTCAGCTTGTCCGCTGGAAATATCCACGCCGACCTGTTGACGGTAGTGTTCATGATGACGCAGTGTAAAAGACAAACATTGGCATGGAATCTGAATTTGTTTTACAATACTACCCTTTAGAACAGATTTTTAAAAAGCAAAAGTCGACTGTAATGCAAAAAAGTACACGTGTTTACCATTGGAGGGCGGACAAACACTGGATTATTCCATTTTGAGTACAATGACGAAAGTGAGTTGCTGCTCTCACCGACGTCATCTGCAAAGACGAACAAGAGGAACATCAGATTGTATTTTGTGTGGGTTAGAACCTTGACAGTCTACAGCCTGACGTGTCTGTGGGGTACCTCTGTAATCAGGCCCTGAGCTAATCACTCTGTCTGGCCTGGATTTAGGCAGGAAAGGCAACACTAGATCCACCTGAAATGGGTAACACCTGTATTCCATCCCTACAGTTCCAAGCAACAGGGACACGACAGTAAACAGGAGGACTTTAGTCACATGACACCACTAAAATGTCTCAAACTGTAGATTCATTTTTTGGGTTAAATCAATGACAGTGAAGGTATTTCTGGCTGACTTACTATGACACCTCTAATTAACTCACCCATTTCAGACATGACACTAACTGCCATATTCGTGACATCAGATGTACAGCGCACTTGTGTTTCTTCTGTCGCTGGCTCCTCATATCTGCTGAGCCCGGTCACTCTGTTGACGTAAACTGTCTTTCCAACAGACGTGTCGTAGTGATGAAGCCAGTCGCTTGATGTTGGATCCGCTTCCTGTTCATCCAGTTGAGGATCTGTGCTGCAGCCCAAGTCCAGCTGGAGATTCGGTGCAGGGTCACAGGGATTCTCACTGTCATTGCCCTCTTGGATAGCATCACTACCGCTACTGAGACAGACATTTTCCTCTGAGGTAGTCCTGGACATGTGTAGTGATACTTCTGGATCCTCTGTGGTGTGTTGCTTTAAATGGCAGAGCTTAGCCGCCAAAGATTTTTTACCTTTACTCTGAGCTGAGGCTGGTTTTAGCTTGGTGACAGCTAAGCTTTGGGAGCTGCTCTGTGTCTCGTCTCCCTCTTGAGTCTCTGTCACATCACCATGTCGCTGATCTTCCTGACAAGCTAATGTATTTTTAGGATTCAGAACAAAGCTGTCTGTCTGAGGAGGTCTGTTGTTGTTCTGCGCCTCAAGATGATTCGGTAATTTATGTTCATCAGATTTAACATACATTCTTCTAAACCTGTCGAGAGAGCAAGACTCCTTATAGGTGGATAACTTCTGATAAGAAATTACTTTGGGGATTTTTGAGGGGACGATAGCAGCAGATGACAGTTTCTGAGAAGATCCATCGTGGCCTGCATGCAGTGAGATTTTGCGTTTTGATGCCACGGATCCTTCTCCATGTTTCACAGTTAAATCTTGCTCCTGATGTACTTTGCTGTTGGTTTGGGAGAGACTCTGAGTGTGGAGGCTTTCATGGATGTATGGGTCTGACAAACCGATCCTTCTGTTACTTATTACAGTCCGTTCATAGCTTTGGTAATCTGGTACTGTCGGCTCAATACGGTTTAAATCAGGCTGTTTAATAAGGAGTGAATGTACATTGCTTATTGAGGCAGCACTGTTTGTCAGGATCTCTCTGTCTTCAGAAACTACACCATCGAGCCCATCTGACATATATAACATTTTATCGCTTTCACTAAATACTTGCTCCTCGTCATTGTTAGTATGCGATGCAGGCTCCAGTGTAGCCGGATCACACTGTGGCTCCTCTATACATCCTTTATTTACATATTTTTTGCTCTGTATCTTTCCCAGTTCATCTGCAGTTGTCCTTTTCTGCCCTTGTTGATCAGTCTCATCTGCCGTGCACTCCATCAGGCAAGAATCTGTACACACACTGACGTCTGCGTGCCTACGATGAACAGACCCAGATGCCAGTTTCACTCCAATGCTGCAATCCAGGGAAGAAGCACCAACAGATTCTAAGCCACCTTTTTTAGTCTCTTCTTGTTCTGTTATATCGGCGCCAAACACTTGTGGAGATACATAATCCAAGTCATCTTGAGAGAGTACAGCCACCAAATTCTCCCTGCTCAGAAAAGCTTTCACTGCTTCTTCTACACAGAGCAAAATCCCATCCCAATCTTTGAACTCGATTAGAGTTTTGGCAGGCTCAAGACAAATGTCATACTCTGAGTAAGCACATTTAATATTGATGATGTAGACCCCATACAGCTCCTGGCTTCGTTTGTGTTTTGGACTCCTGATGACCGACGGCCCATCTGAGGCGTCACTTTTCTGGCTTGAGCTGCTTAATCTGCGCAGGAGAAAGTTCAACAGCTTGTGGATCCGTGTTTTCAACAGCAGCCTGTCGTTTACATACAGGAACTGCAAGCTGTTGTTGTAGTGGCCCTCTTTGCCGAGGTGGCCCATCACCTCAAACTGCTTGTGTGCGTGGCTGATTTCTCCCAGTTTCTCTGCTCGTGCGAGGCCGTGGATCTGAACAAACCTGTGATAGGTGTTTCTGGCTTTAGGAAGCTGCACCATCATGGCTCCTGTGCAGTCGTTCTTCAGGGTGAAGGACACTGAGGGGTGCATCAGGGAAACTGCCTCCAATCTGTGTCTGATCCTCTCACCCTCCAGGACGGCATCGACCCTCTTCCTCCGGACTGGCATGTTGTGGAAGAAGTTACAGATGATGACAGTTGTTCCTGCAGAAGGTCGAGCATTCTCCGCTTCGAACACATCCAATCCTTTGCCATCCTTGAACATTTTAACGTGTGTTTTCACTGATGATCTGGTCCGAGATGAGATTTCAACAAGAGTGGCTAAAGACACCATACTGGCCAAGGCTTCTCCTCTGAAACCGTACCACCTGAGGTTGTCCAGGTCGTCCACAGAGCTGCATTTGCTCGTGTAGTATCTGCTTCCCACACACTCCATATCCTCGGCGCTCACCCCTGCACCGTTGTCTATTACCTGGACTTTAAAAGCGTCCATGTCCATCCTGACTCCCACACAGGTCGCCCCGGCATCGATGCTGTTCAGAATAAGCTCCTCTACGCACTGCTGAAGGGAAGGGATGGCAACACCGGAGCGGAGTTTCCCCTGGAGCTCAACAGGCAAACACTTTATCATGATTAATTCAGCTCTCCTGGCATGTTTACTTCTTTACGTGCACTGACTTGGAGTACTAAGTTAGCTAGCTGCCGTTAAACTGACCGTTGCTAACTGGCTAACGTACGCTACCTTGAAGCTTTCATACTTTCGTGGCTTCAAAATTAAACTTTTTGACCACGACACATTAAAATACAGTCCGATAAAATAAACGTTAGCAAACCCATGCCAAAAATAACAACAACAACCTTGCTGTTGTGTACAGTCAACATTGTACAACAAGAGCTACCCTTAGCTGCTTACTGCTAACAACCAAAGCTAACACTGCCATCTTCTGGTGTGACTGACCGAACTGATGCTGCGTTCAGGTCACTCGAAAATTAGCCAATTCGTGCTCCCAGACTTCACCGAAAAGCAAATAGAAAAAAGTGTTGATATTGATACGATAATTAACTTGTAGACTGGATTAATAAACACAATAAACAATGTAAAATATGCGCCTCTAAAGAAAGCGCTCTCCTGGATACGTTTACATTTGGCTTTTAAGTAGAAGTCCCTGATTCCCGAGTTGACACAAACACATCATTTCCACACCTTTTCTAGACAGTTCCCAAATAGGCGCCATGTTTTATCGCCACCTGCTGTACGGAGTGAGTTATCTCATGTGTTTACAGACCCAGACAGTGGTTTGTAGCCTTTCCTGCATTTAAAAAGTCGATGCATCCATTTCATTCATATTTTTAACCATTAATTTGCCCCACTGCACGACTGGTTATACCTAAACCTCATAAGTAAATGTAGGCCTGTGAGCTCAATCTTCTTTTTTCTTTTTTTTTCTTACAACAGATATTTTTGACTTGTCACAGTAGAATAGTAAAGGTGTTATTAGCTACTGAATTGTAAATTATGATGTGACAGTAAGTCAGCATGCATAATGCATTAACATGAAACCAGAGCAGCTAAATGGAATTCAGCATCATTAATTTAATTGTGTACACCTGTGCTGCGAAAAGGACACACAGAGGATACAGCTAAGCAGCTGGCGCACATGCTATTTGATTATTATGAGCTAAAACCAAAAGCCTGGCCAAATTAATGTGCTGCTGTCTAGATTTCGTATTAATCAATGCCACCAGACCGTCCTGTGCCAGCATCCTGCCAAACTGTTAGTCTGGTACAGCTCTGGGTGATCCCTGCTGCGTCAGGACCATTTCTACTGTCTTTTGGAAATAAACTTTAAAAATAGGATCACAGCTTGTGATTTGAAATTCTGTCTATTCTTCTTAACACGGGGGAATTTGTGTCAGTTTACCAGCCAGGGTGTTGATTAATTTAATGGTTGAGAATTTGTCACTAGAACCTGAAGCACAATTTTCTAAATGTAACCCTTTTCTAAACACAACAATATAAACTAGATTATTTAACTTTATCTCTAATTCAGAAAAGAAGAACATGTGCATGTTTGGTTTCTTTTTGTACGTAACTACAAAACTGCACCTGAATTGAAGAACTATTTCAGGACTAACAGCACAGTTTGTGATGAGACAAGTGCGTGAGTTTTCTGAGTTTTTTTCTCCCTGATTTATCAAATTAACACTGATTAGGGATTGAGAATAAATTGACACTAATTTTCTGGCAATTTAATCAAGGATTTCCCCACAGCCACCTCCAGGGATTAGTCCTTGCCAAGTGACTAGAATTGCATTTGATGAGTATTTAGTCATTCAGCTGCAGTTGATTCATTTGCTGTAATTTTAAATGCTCTAATTGATGTTTTTACGATGTTATTAACTTTTCATCTTACTCATTGTTGTCCATTCCTGTGCCTACATGTTGTATTCTCCTACTTTGTAAATGAGGCCTTGAGAAGCTCAGTATATTGCAAGTTTAAATAACGGTTGAATGAATTCATACAGGCTCCCTTTTGACACCTGCAGTCAGTTTTTATGGAGGCAGATGAGAAGCACAGTAAAAGACTTCAAGGTCATACCATTAAATCTGCTCCTCACAAATGAACAAGCTGTTACCATACTGTTAAAACATGTAATAACCACACAGTCGTGTTCCTCTCAGTACAGGACCCTTACAACCAGGCTAACATCGTCACAGCCTATATGTCTTTGTTGCAGTTATCACAATAAAATTCAAACAATGTGAAGCCGGTAGAAGGAATTTTCCATTTATTAGTGCTACCACACAGTCTGTGGATGTTAAAGAGAACCAGCTTATACAGTACACGTCGTTTTCATGCATTATAAGTGCTGAAATCCATCAAATAAAAAAATACTAAATAAATAAACATCTGCTTCCGAGTTAGTATTACAGGCAGTCAGTGCATTATGTTTTACTTTACTATGTTAAAAGATGAGTGTTCTAGGCTGTCAACTGTTTTCTCATCCTTGAACTCCGCCTTGGTTATGTGCGACTTGGGGCTCCCAGTGGACCTCAGCCATTCCTGCATTTCTTTCACCTTGCTGCGTGGGCCTTGGAGCTGCCCCTGAACAGTTCCTGCCCCCGTGTTTTGGACCCAACCAACCAGGCCGAGTTTCTTCCCTTCTGCCTGGAAAATGACAGACACAACAGAGAATATGGCTGGAATGAGACAGATGTAAATTCACATGTGGAGTAAAAGCTACACAGTAGGCCTTGTATAGTTATTAAGACTCAGATCCTATGGTAGGATTAGGGTTAGAGCATCAACACTGCAATCTGTGCATGTGCGATAGTTACATCACAGGAGGTGCCATTTGAAATAAATGAACTCAAACACAACATGCTACAGCTCGATACAAAAAGAAACCTTTCCTGCTTTTCATTTTCCATGACTAATCTACAAGAGCAGTCAGTCTGACAGAACATTATTCACTCCAGTTTAAGGGTTCTTGGATTTACTGAGGGGCTGCAAGGTGGCGCAGTGATTAGCACCGTTGCCTCGCAGTACAAAGGTTCACGTCCCCGTGAGGACACCTGTGGAGTGCTGTTGGCATGTTCTCACACAAAACATGTTGAGGTTAACTGGTGATTCTAAGATAAGATTCTAGGTGTGAATGTGAGTGTGCTTGGTTGTTTGTCTCTAACTGTAGGCCTGTGATAGTCAGCTGGGATAGACTCCAGCCACCCCGTGACTCTAGTGAGGATTAAGCGTTGTATAGATAATGGATGGATTGATATGGTTTTTACAACTTTATTTAAAGACATTGAATTGTTGACATACACGCTACACATGTGAAAAATGTGTGAGGAACAGAACCAGTCAAAGCACCACAAAACTCTGTGTGACCAGTGCAAAGCCAGATCTGAATAGCATCCAAAGCACAACACTATTTATATTTCACGTTAGATCATATTTGGGACATATAAACACTGAAATAATTAAATACTGTCGAATGCTGCTCTCTGGAGTGATCCCCTCATTTCAGAGAATCCACATAACAAACACTTATTTTCATCTGGCGATTAACAGAAATGCAATTAAGTAAATTAACAGAGAACAGGGCAATGAATGGACTCTAAGTTAAGTCAAACTATGAAATCTATCAATGTTTATCTTATGAGGACTAGCACATCAATGCCAAACTCACTTGAGTGTATTTCCGAAAAAATACACCTTGCACTCTGCCAAAAACCTCATAATCCACTGAAATTAGGTCTTCATCAGACATAGTGGACCTAAAAATATAAAAAAAAAAGGAGAAATAAGACAGTATTTGGAGCTGCGTTGTCAGAAACATACCATGAATGGCAGGAGCTAAACTACAGCTACAAGCTAAGCTAACATAAACAAACAGTGTTCAAACCATTTGCAGTGTAGATAATTAACAAGCTAACCTCCGTATTGGTTCCGTATGGACACATGCAAGCTCGCTTCGGTTCTACACGTCACCTGAATGTTGTTGTGAAGCCGTGAATGGACCATGCAGCTCCGAAAGATCTCGATTTGAAACATACGGGTCTCCGCTCCAGGAAGTGATGTTCAACGGACCAATCAGAGACGAGCCGAGACATGCGGTTTCTAGGCAACAAGTGTAAACGTTGGAAGAGGGGTCGCATCAGTAACAGAGGTTTTCTACCGATGTTTGTAGATAAAGGACATTGAACAATAACACATGGAGTTTTACTGGTAAGTTAATATCAGCGCTTGTTTTTTCTTACTTGTTTCATATCATTTAGTTAACAACTATTACCAAAGGAAATGAGAAAGTCACTGTCAGCAATGTTTTCATTAGTTTGTCATTTTCGAGGTTTGTAACTCCTTTCCCTTTTATTATTATTATTATTATTGTTGTTGTTATCATGTTTATAGTTTCCACACATAATTCAGCCCACATTTGTTTCAGTCTGTGCCAAATCCAACAGAATTCAGTTTGGAAGTCATATTTAGGGGTAAATATCAGACTAAGCCCCGCCATGACAAGACAGCTGTTTCCATCAGATCCAGATGGTTGAATGGCTCCAGCATAGATAATGGGGGAAAAAAGGTGTAACATTTTTAATTGAGGGTGGTATTTGGGGCCCATAAAGGTTCTGTAAGTGTATATGTCACAGAAGTGAGTGAGTGACCCCCCCACCCCCTTCAACCTCTGCAGCAATGCCGGCAGCACTCATACATCTATTTTCCAAAGACAACCTCTGGATATGAGCAGGTGCACTCAACCTCTTTGGTTGACCGTGGCGAGGCATGTCCTGAGTGGAGCCTGTCCTGTTAAACCGCTGTGTGGTCTCGGCCACCGTGCTGCTGCTCAGTTTCAGGGTGTTGACAATCTTCTTATAGCCTAGGACATCTTTACGTAGAGCAACAATTCTGTTTTTCACATCCTCAGAGAGTTCTTTTCCATGTTAAACTTCCAGTGACCAGTATGAGAGAGTGTGAGAGCAATAAAACCAAATTTAACACACCTGCTCCCCAGTCACACCTGAGACCTTGTAACACTAATGAGTCACATGATTTGGACATTTTCACTCAGGGTGTCCTCACTTCTGTTGTCAGCGGTTTAGACATTAATGGCTGTTTGCTGAGTTATTTTGAGGGGACAGTAAATTTACACTGTTATGCAAGCTGTACACTGATTACTTCACATTAGTGATGCATGATATTAAAATTTCTGGCCAATAATGATATCTGATATTAAGATTTCTGATATTGCTGATAACTGATATCACCAAAGTCGATATTCAATTTTTGTTCACACCGAAAAATGAGTAGAAGTAGGCACTGTGAGAAAACTACTCAAAAGAAGCCCAGATTAGACCACACAGTCTTCTTTATTCCGGAACAAAAGTAAAATATATTTAAATCTCTTTTAGCATATTTAAGTCCAGGTGCATTTAAGTAAAAACATCTGTGAAACAGCAGCAATATCAAATGTAGATACGAAGGCGCTGATGTTAGACAATCATCGGTTTTTCACATCGGCTAAATTTATTCATCGGACCGATACTGATATATGGGAAAAAACACTAACATCGGCCGATGTGGTCGCCGATATATCGTGCATCCCTCTTTACATTGTGGCAAAGTGTCATTACTTCAGTGTTGTCCCATGAAAAGATATAATAAAATATCTGCAGAAATAGAGTTTTTGGTTTTTAGGTCTTTAACATCAGTAGAATTTGTGAAGTGGCACATATGGCTAGTCATGGTTCCTTTGCTTGAAATATAAGTAAAGTTGATTCAGTGCTCTTTTTAATCCTCTTGTCTTTTTTCCTTTCAACTGTAATTTTTTAACTTGCTTGTTTTCACAACTTTTAACAGCTGCTGTGGAGACCTCGTGTGTCTTTGAATCTTTGGAGTAACAGCACAGCGTGATCTATAACAGATGAAATCATGAGCACTTACACAAGAAGGAAACACAGCCCCCAAAGGCAGTTCGACAGTGCACAACAAAGACACGGTACTCATACACAACACGGTGTTGAGCCTGACAGGAAAACAAATGCAGCAGACCAGCCGTTTCCAAACAAGCCCATTAGCCACAGAAGACCTCCCAGGACACAAGTCTTAGTTGATTCGCTTGATTTTGAAAAAATCACAGTTTCTACTCCACCCAGAGGCCCTTCGCCACCTCAGGAACATCACACAAGTGGCACCAGAGACACTGCCAAATCCTGGCATTCAAGAAAAGACTCGCACGTGCCCAGAAAAGAGCTGCAGATGGCCCAAGCAATTCATGCAAAAGAGCGCATGCTACAGGAGAAATTCTGGCAGCTTGAAGAAAAAATAAGACAAAAAATCCAGCAGGATAGTGTTGATACTGCTGCAGGTGACGACCAAAAGAGCGAGGAGGAGAGCAGACGGAGAGGACAAGCTGAGAGGGGAAGAGTTCAGACAAAAGCCAGGATATCTGAGCCGCAGAGGAAAGAGCCAGCGACAAGCAGAGGCATGTCGTCGCAGGAAAGAAGGCGCGAGGATCTTAGGCAGCCTCGGAATAAACAAGATCAGAGAACTGAGGGCAGAGTGAGGAATATACACGACGTACAGCAGAGCAGATGGGAAGGTGCAGAGACTTCTCAGTCAAGAGGAAAAGGATACAAGGGCACTAATGAGACCGTATTTAACGAGCAAGAAGCAAACGAAGAGCTGACCAGATCGAGATGGCAGAATGTAAAAGAGCATGCCAGAAGAAAAGGTGGAGGTGAAAAAGAATATGGCATTCAGGGAGAAGCAGAGAAAACAAAATACAGCAAACAAAATGAGGCCTCTTTGGATTTTGCATTTTCAGCAAGAGAAAAGAAATTTAGGGAAATAACACATAAGGAGGTCGATAGTTCTGATGATGACCGAGACATGCCGCAGAAAACTGGTCATAGAGCGGTCATGGAAAACCACAGAGCAGGAAGGAAACCGTCGAGGGAATCAGCTGGTGCTTCTCATTACAGTCAGCTGCAGCAGGAGGAGGAGCTCACGCTGACGGATAACACAGACGGCAGCATCCAGCTCTTTCCTTGCAAAATCTGCAACAGAAAATTTTTTAAAGAAAGATTAGAAAAGCACATAGAAGTCTGTAAAAAGGTGAAACAGTCCCATCGTCAAGTCTTCAACTCCTACGCGAACAGGACCAAAGGATCAGCCATAGAGGAGTATTTAAAAACCCACAGCAGGAGCAACACTCCAGAGGAAAGCCAGGCATGTTTTAATCTCTCTCAAAGGACCAACCCACATTTTCACACATAATGCTAAAGGTTAAAGGTGCATGATGGAGTTTTTTGACCACCAGTTCCGCTTTGTAGGATTATATTTAAGATTAAGTCTTTAAGAAGTTTGCTTACTTCTAGTTTTGTTCCATTAGGGAAACCATTCACCCTAATTTGCTAAATATATTGGACCTAAGTGTAAATTATTGTTGACACCTTCTGTCCTGTCTCTGATACCTTCATCCAGGTTTTAAAGAAAAAGAGACAAAACTACAAGGGAAACATAAGCAACCTGCGTCAGGACCGACTCCCGGCCGGCACCTCGAAGCCTAAACGGCTCAAGTAAGCTGACGAGGAGCTCCAGACCCTCAGCTGTCAGCACATCATCTTGTTATTGCCTGTTTTTTTGTATATAGGTTAATTTAACTGCTTAAAAATGCTGTTACAGGTCTGCTGTTGTTTGAGTATTTTCTCTCTTAACTAAACATAACTGTCTAAGATAAAACCAGCCTGGTACAAGGAGCACATGTTGACACCAATAGGTAGAATGAGCTACAATAGCTTACAGTACGATACACACATGATAAAAGACAGCTGCTAGTTTTATTTATGGCTTATACACAAAGGATGAAGCAACAGTGTGACTGTGACAGACCACAGTTTGTACAACAGCTCCACAATATTTGGTAAACGGTTGGAAAAAAAAAAAAAAAAAAAGAAGTAAACCATATTCTTAAATGCTCAACACACTGAATAAAAAGTTCACCCAAAGGCACAACGTGGTCATGTTTGCACTAATTCTAGACGCATTGGCTTGCTAAGGCACTCTGGAATTAACGCTGCATTTTACTGCATGAAAACACTGCCAGTGTCGTCATCTGACAGCTCATCTGACCGTGAGTTGTGGGCTATGCATGGATTTTATGTGCACACGTTTGCTGATAACACACATAATAAACAAACCAAACAGACCTCAAACGAATACAAAGAACATAAGAGTTTTTCTTTCAAAAATTAAAACGGCAAAAGAAAAAAATTCAGAAAGTACCAAAGACTGACAACATGGTGAAAGAAAAAACATAGAAAATAACATTATAGCTGCAAGATAAACTATATAATATATGCCTTAAAGACCACATTTCATAAGAAAACTGTTCAAGTGTTCATATATGTCACAAAGAAAACAGACCTACATGTGCTGCACCTAAAGTCAAAGAAGGCAAGAGGAAAAAAAGTCGCCAACTTGTTAAAAAAAAAAAAAAGAATCAGTAGTTTCGTCTTTTACACAAATAATGTGACAACAAATCATGCAAAGTTAAAAGTGTATATATATAGTTATATATATACTGTATATTTGCACGAGATAAAGAAAATATGTTTAGCTAAAATGTCTGATAAATATGAAAATCTATTGTGTTTGACACTTAAGAACATCAGATAAAATGACGTGTGATACATAAGAAAGCTACAGTATGTTTTCACATTGAAAGCTGATGCCAACATACTGGCTGCCCACCTCGTCGTAGCTCAACACTTTGGATACATCAGGAAACGGTTTCCTGCTTGCATAAGCTAGTCTTACCTGGTTAAGTGATAATATTTAAGGCACTCAGGTCTGAAGCCTCGATGCAGACATCACTGGAAGTCGACAACAACACCACCAACATTCACATTACAGCGTAACACTATGAGCAGACTGCTTCTCTCGGGTGTTGGGGTTCAAAGCTTCATGTTGAGTCCAGCCAACATTTCAGTCCGTGCTAAAACTTGCGAGATCACCGCAACCAGGTGAAAACAAGTGTGCATTGAGAGCGTGCAATGCATGATACATTAATTCATATGCAATAAAATGTAATTATGCAGCTTAGCGCCCTGTTAAACATCGATACTGTAATGTAACCACTGAGTGGAAATGAGGATGCAGTCTCCGCTGCACCTCTCACCGAGCCTCTACCTCCCGGTCCCACCAGCTCTTTTTAATCCACTATGTGCTTCTGACACTTCTCCCAAAACTGGACGTCTCCTGGTTAAGCCTCACACGCTGGCCCCAGCAGATCGGCCTCCGTGATTTGTGAATCCGCCTCTTCTTCCTCCTCCTCCAGCTCCGGGCATACGATCGGAGTGATGGTTTCCGTTACTGTCACATCCGGCTCCCTGTAGCGCAGAGCGACTGATGGCCTCCCAGAGCCTCTCATTCTCCTTCTGCTGCTCACTGACCTACAGACAGCAGAAACACAGCACATGTTAATGCACACTGATCAAACTCAGCTCTGAGGCAGATGGATGCTGGAAAAGAATAAAACATTCACCTGCTTTTCAAGCATCTGGATCCTCATCTCTTGATGGGTGATTGTCTCTCGCAGCTGCAAAATAAGCTCTGCTGTCACTGTTGTAATGGAGTGTACTAGTGAGCTCACCATTTGCACTGTTGATTGTGTAAATTAGATACCTGCGCCACCTCACTACTGGCTCTGCAGCATGCACCCGATTCTCCTCTTCTGCAGATGTCAGCCTCCGTCAGTCCGTTGACTTTATCACATGTCATTCGTTTAGTCTGTAGAACCAACAGAAAGACTGAATATAGTAGAAATATTTAACTAAGCACTACGGAGTACAAAAGTCATGTGTACATTTGTGCAAACAGCAGCTATGCTGGCATTACCGACAGGCCTGTGTTACTGCTGACTGCCGCTGCCGCAGCCTTAAGTTCTTTCAATTCCTCGTATGGTAGAGTAACGCTCTCAGAGAAAGAAGAGAGCTGGTCAGGAGTGAAAGGATCTTGTTCGTCTGGCATCGGGATGAACTCTGCATCTTCAAGCTCCTGTTGAATAAAACGTTGTCTGAATTAGAGCGTTGTAAGGCCTCATTCAGATGTTCTTATTTAGAATTCAAACGAAGGTTTTCTTGGGGCGTGTGTCCATTTAGCATTTTTTTTCTGGCAGAAAAGCAACGACAGGCTGCTCCGTCTCAGCTTTTCAGCAGAAATGCACTCCTACACTGTGGGTGGTTTTGTTGCTATGACAACAGCATCTTGACAACATATCACCACTCTAACGGCAGCTGTATGATAGACGAGCATCGCCCCTCATTGTGATTTTTAAAAAAACCATCTGACCTATTATACAGTTCAAGACAGGAAGACAGAACCAGAACAAACGTCTTCTCTATATTCTTGGTTACCAGGGAGATGAGGCCCACCCATGTGATTAGCTGCCTAAAAAAAGAGCAACAAGCTGCTGCACAAAAAAAGTGGAGCTCTCTGAAAGATGATGGGAACAACTGATGCTCAGAAAAAAAATCGCTTTGTGGACGCTCGGCCTGATTCCTCGGTGTGTTCATGGTAGCAAACCTTTCTGAGCCAGAAAGGACAGGAGCTGTCTCCAGTCTGATTTGTCATCGACATCATCGGGGTCTCCATGTTGCAGCCCTCCGTATTGACCTCCAGCGTACCCCCAAGACCCCTGTCGCGACACTCGGTCTCAGAACCATGTTCGATGTCCAGATCCACTGTGGATGTCGACGCCTCCTGGCCCAGCCCTGAAAACACACAAACAACAAAATATAGGTTTATCATCAAGCAATCCAAAGTCATTCAATACACAAATCTGTGGCTAAAAAAAAAATAAAACATTTACCACTTCCAACTGATAGTCCACTGCTGTTAGAGCGGATGGTTTTTGAGTTGAGCACTTTTTCTACAAATAAGAAAAGAAACACTTATCAGACTTGTGTTTATTGGGGTATTTTATTGTACCGGTGTCTGTGTAATGACCAACCCATGATGATAATGGTGTGCCAGCCACGGCAAGACAGGTCTGGTACGTGGTGGAGGGAGCCAAAGATGGGCCTTGGCATGGCAGGGCAAACCTCTGAACCAAAGCCCTTATCAGCAGGCATCCCAAGTCTCCCGTTCCCTGCGTTACCCCATGCAAAGATCTGATTGTCTGCAAGGTAAGAAACAAAAACTGATTATGATGTAACCGTAGACTCAAAACTAAGTAGTATGAAAATGGAAAAATATAGATATTATTGTTGTTGTGTGTTTCGTGTTCTTACCTTCAGTGGCTGCAATAGTGAATCCGTCTCCACAGGACACTTTGGTCACTATCTTCCCTCCAAACGGTCCGAGGAGGACCTGAACGCCCTGGTGTCTCTTGAAGTCCTTCACACCCAGTTGTCCATACTTGTTGCAACCAAAGGTGATGAGGCGACCGCGTGCTGCGAAGCCAGAAATCATACTTCTTTCAAACTGTGACAATTTTGGCTTTCAAGCAAAATATGAGCTTCTTTTATCTTTATTTCTTTTGCTGTACCATCGATGGCAGCTGTGTGGGTCTTCCCTGGAGCTATGACCTGGATCTTGAAATGTGACAGCTGCTTCACCAAGGTCAGCGTGGTGATGTACGGGATCACTTGGGAACCCTGGTGTGGCGCACATGAACAACAAAAGCTTATGAACGCAGCTGCATCACCGTGAGCCTATTATTACAGTACTGTAAATATAGCTCGTTACCTCTCCGGGGTGGTTTTTGAGACCAGAGAGTCCCTGGTTCAGTCCCAGCTTGTTGAATTCATTGTGTCCACATGCTAGCACTTTGCCCGTCTCTGTCAGAAAGAAGGTTCCATCGCTGCCACATGACACTGAGGAGATGGTGGCGCCTTTGGGAATCTCCACCTGGAAACAAAAAAAAAACAACACACAGGACATTAGAAAGAAAACAGTGATGTTGTCTCACTGGGATTAGTTACTCAAAGCATCTAACTGGTTCCTCTGAGACTTTTCCCTGGATTGGAAAGTGAGTCTTACTTGCATCGGAGAAGAGAAGTCATCCTCACATTCCAGACCAAGACGCCCTGCAACGGAGCAAAAAGGAGGAGATTAATAAAAGATAAAAGGTTGATTCTGACTGAGAACGCTGACTCATAACGGTATACTGACGGGTCTCCACCTGCTTACTACAATCAGTAAAAAGCAACAACAACCTCGCAGATGCTACCTGACATCACCTCAAAACTACAGGACATACAGCAACCCTACGTACCATACTCTCCGCAGCCCCACGAGTAGATGTCCCCGTTCTGGGTCAGCACCACCACGTGATTGTCTCCACATGAAACCTGGTGGACGTGCCGCTCCTCAAAAAACTCCAGAAGCACCGGCTCCAAAATCTCCATCCCCATGTCGCCCTCCACTCCGATGCAGCCGTAATAATCTGACCCGAACATGTACATCTGGTCCTCATCTGCAAACAAAGCACCAGAGGGTTTATTAAAAAATAAACAGGGTGACTTTACAGACACAAGTTTCTGTTTTTAGCAGGAGCCTTTCTTCTCTCACCAGTGACGCAGGCGGTGAAGTCAGCACCACACGCCACCAGTCGGACGGCCTTCCCCTGGAGCTTGTCCACCTTCTTTGGCTGCCGGTACGAGGCCTGGTCTCCGTGCCCCAGCTGGCCCACCATCTTGGCCCCGCCTTGGACATTCTGAGGGTTGGGAAAGTTTCTTGTAGCGCAGCACGACAACAACTAGCTCCTGTATATCAGCCACAGGGTAATGGATGGATACTTACAGCCCAGGTGTACAGCTCCTTTTCTACCGTCACCACTGCAAAGTGACTCTCTCCTGCACACACGTGCTGAGCACTGCTGCCTCCTTTGAACGCGTCCATTTTCTGGGGAGTGAACTTCCCTCCTCCCCAGAAATACACCTCCCTCGAACGGGTAGTCACCACAGCAACAGGGGTCTCAGTCACTGTGCTCAGTCTGTGGTGCAGATATGACAGCAAATCAGTCACATACAAAAGGGCCAGGCTTTACATCATCTATTCATCTTATATCTCAGCTGGAAAGCACTTTGGGTGCTTGGCTTCGACGATGTCAAACATGCAATAAATGGTAACTTACTTTGGTTTCCTTATCGCCGAATTCAGTAAGGCAACGCGCTCTTCCAGCTCCCTATCAAAGAACAAAGTTGTCAGAGAAGTGCTGTATCTAAAACTAAGAGGCTTTCTTATTCAACAATTCAAAAGATCCTCACTGTCGGCAACAGGAGATGAACGGCTGGTCCAGGACCTGCTCGGCCGTGGGCCTCTTTGCAGGATCCTGCAACACAAAAGACCACAAGAGCTTAGAGATCATCGAATCATTTGTTTTATGGCAGTTTGAAACCTTATTCTCCTCTCACTTACTTGATCGAGACACTCGTACACCAGCTTGATCAACGCAGATGAAAAAACCTCCGAGTTCACCTCCATGGTCCAGTTTCCCTGGACTATTTTCACACAGAGGTTGAGAGCGTTCTGTACGGACACAAACATCACAGTAAATTTATTCCGGCGGCAACAATCAAGCAGTCTGATTAACGCAAGTCACACTGATTTGTAGAAGGTTAGCAAACCTACCGTCGCATCAAATGTTCTTGTAAGAGTTAAGACTTCAAAAAGTACACAACCCATGGCCCAGATGTCTGATTTGAAGTTGTACTTTGCTCCCTGGCACAGTTCAGGCGACATGTAATACGGAGTCCCCACACACTGCACAGACCAAGGAAGTGCAGAAAGAACGTTAGTGAAACACGATGCAGAAAGAACGTGTAGCTATACCACACAGTTCAAAGATATTTCACATAATGAGATTCTGCAAAGTAAAATCACAGTAAGTCAACAGCCACAGCTTTAGTCTGTGATCAGCATTAAACAGCAGCAGAATCAAAGGTGACAAAAGAGTAATAATAACTGTACATGAAGAACCATCTCTTGAATCTTGAATTTATTTTTCTTGCTAAATAATATGGCAAAACCTAAAAAGAAAGCAGGCACAAATATCCAACCTACTCAACCCCAGTGAGTGAACAGACGATTTAACAACTACACAACATAACCGCAGGCTTCTGGTTTAGGATGGACGGACGGAGTCACAACTTACAGTCTCTGCCATTGAAAACTCAGAGTCTAGCTTCTTTGCGAGGCCGTAATCGCCGAGCTTAATGAGGTCAGTCTTGGTCAGGAAAATGTTCAGAGTTTTGATGTCTCTGCAAGACAAAAACAAAAAAGTGCCAAGCCAAAAAAAACCTAATTATTCATGTCAGTTTGTCTTAAAGATCACGTGACTCTCCAGCTATCGTTATTAAGAAACTTATTAGAAGCAATATAATTGTGTATTATAATTTATTTTGAGAGAGTATTACAATTGTGTGTTGTGTAATGTGCTTAAATATTCTGATGAGACACGTGAAAGTGTCTACGTTTAAGTTATTATTGATTATTACAGGGGTTTTGGTATATTTAAGCGTTTAACTTCTTCCAAAACCCTTTTTTTAACTTTGAAACTTTGATTTTGTGTATCAAATGTTGACTTCTGTTTTCAATCACTCAATCAAACTTTATTTGTATAGCACTTTTCATACAAAGAAAGCAACACAAAGTGCTTTACAATCATTACAAACAAGAAAACCCATCCCTCCCACCCTCCATATATACATATACACACCCACACACACACTCTCACCACTGACAGTAGGAAGACATGGCATGGCACTGAGGATTGTGGGAAATGTTTGTTGTTTTAAATTTCTGGTTCGAAACAAAGAGGAAGAAGAAAAAAAAAAAAGAGCATCTTACCTGTGCAAGATCCCAGCCTTGTGAATGTGAGACACTGCTGAGGCGATCTGGTACAGGTACCATATGACCACCTGTGGAAACATGTTAAAGATTAAATATGACTGAGATGTGAAAAACAAACAACAACAAAAAGGCCTGCAACAGTGCACTCGTACCTCCTCGCTGAAGAGCTTCCCCTTCTGTTGGTTGATCTTATCGTACAGATTTCCTCCTGCGATAACAACGCTGTTTAGCATTCCGTCACACATGAGCTGCACACACCACCACTAATCAGATCCCAGAGCAAAAGTGCGTTTTCTCACCGTTGCAATACTCCAACTCAATGAGCAGACTGTTTTTATCCATGAAGTGATTGAAGTAGGCGATGATGTTGTTGTGCTCCAGCATGGACAGGATGCTGATTTCGTTCATGACGTCTCTGCGCTCCTTTTCCGAGAGCGAGTTCAGGTCCACCTCCTTCCATACCACCAGAGAGTTGTCCTAGGGAAGCCAAAGGGGACATCTCATTAAACAATATCACTCAGAGGCTCGAGCATGAGTCTGAATTTGTCCCGTCTGATGTTAACAGAATGTCTCTGGATAATATCTACCTGCTTACAGCACAGAGAAGGAAAATATATATATTTTTAAAAACAGTATGAAATATAAATGGTTCAAAATGCATTTTTGACAGATGTGGCAGGAACGGGTTCCCTTTGCTGCAGCCGGTTATAATAAAGCATACAGAGGCAAGGCATGAGAAAGTCATCTATCTTCTTCTCACTCAAGAATTTCTCACAGTCGCTGTGTGAGAAATATCGAGGCTGTGGAAGAACAGGGAGCGATTCAGAGCGCCAGACGCTTACTGTTCACTGGGACAGAAACCAACACTTTATCCGATTAGCTGTTTGAGCTTTAAAATGTTAAAAAATAGTCAAAATCAGTGCCTACTGGTGCCAAGATGACGGCCTAAAATGTCTCGTTCACTTCTTGTAGGGGAATAAAGAAATATATATAGAACACAAAATAACACACGCAAACAGTTCATTTTTGTAGCGTCATAACTTTAGATCTTAGTTATAATAATTAACAATGCTGCGAGGTGTTAGCCTTAATATTGAATCTACCTGAGACAACATCAATCAAACTTAAGTTATCCCTATTTTTGTCATTTCTACTGAGTCAAATCCACTCGACTTCTGTTTGATTGATATTAACTCAAGCAAACAACAACAACAAAAGTTTTCTGAAAATCTACAAAAATGGAGTTATCTGTTTTTGCAAATGACCTCTTCATTTATTATAGTCTGATAAGATTATAGATATATATAAAACATATTTTAGACATGTTTTTTAGAGTTTGAATCCATACTACCTAAATCACTCAGGTAAATTCAAATTATAAAAATCACTGCAGTGTCTTATGGTTAATATTTAACCTTGCTGGGTTAATTCATATTTTTCTATTGCAAAGCTATGAATAAAATATAAACAAACAAACAAATAAAACTGTGACTTGACCAAACAAACAAACGAACAATAAAATAAACTTAAGAAACCGCAATCATAGAAATTTGACAATTTTTTCCATCAAAACAAACAGAAAACAACAACAAAACATTCGATTAATCGATTGTAGACACGGACGAAGATGAATTCATGTCGACAAGTAAACGATTAGTCGATTAGTGTTTGTTCACTTAGAAGACAAAATGTACCACCGCTAGCGCTAGCATCAGTTTAGACAGTAAAAGCTCATGTTTGCTCGGCTCAGGACAGTTAAGGGACGTCGTGAAGCTGCAGAAGACACCTTGTCTTTGAGCTTTTGTGAACTTTCTGCGGCCGTGAGGACTTGACGTGTCCTCGCCGTTGGTTAGCGTGAAGCTGTGCTCGACTCACCTCCGTCCGTCTGTACAGAGTGGCTTCACCAAACGCCCCCCTCCCGAGGATCCGGATAGGAATGTAATGCAACTTCTCCTCTTCGCCATTAAATGTGCCCGAAGCCGACCGCTCGCTGACCACGGACCCGCCGCCCAAATCCGAATTTAGCGAGTCGAAATGTCTTTCATAGTCCTCCAGTGACATTTCTGTTTAGGGACTTGTTAGCCAGCGGCAGTGATGGAAATAACCCGAACAGGCCCCGACAGACGACGACTCTTTCCCCGAGACTCCTAGAAAACTCGACACACGGCCGACATATTACAGCCGAGGGCCAATAAAGAACACCTGGCAAAGTACGAGTCCGAGCTGGAGCCTCAAAGCCGCTTGAAAACCGCAGCGTCCACCAGAAAACGAAGCAAAATACGTCCAACTACAGCACTTGCACTAGTGTCAAGCTTCACGCGATAAAAGCGAGGACAGCGGGTTTTTCAGTTTTCAAAATAAAAGCCGCGTCTCACAGAGTGGCTCTGGTGTGTTTTACGCTGACAGTCAGCGGAGCGGATATGGTGAATCTTACTCGTCTGCTCCGTGTGTTAGCTTGACGTGGCTAATAAGTTAGCAAAAGTGAAGCGCCGTCTTAATTTCTGAGCTGTCATGTGCTTGTTGCTCCGCTAAAAGAGTTTTAAGCACGTCTGAGTAACTTGTACGCAAGTTAACGAGTGTTTAAAAGTTGTTGGGAGCGGAACCGGAGGCGACAACACGCCGACAGCTCGTCCATCCTTCTCTAGTGTCGGACACGGAAACTGTCAAACACGGTTGTAAAAGTCAAAACATCACCGCTGCAGCTCCAACAGAGGCTGTTACAGGCTCAGTGTTTCTGTCACTGAGCTGCGACTCTGAATTT